TTTTTTTTTTTTTTTTTTTTTGGCATAAACAGTCTTGTTCTTGCTCAGGCTAATCTTGAATTCCTTACCTCAAAACAGTCCTCCTTCCTTGGCCTCTCAAAGTTCTAAGTTTATAGGAGTGAGTCACTCCTGGCCTGAGCTGGCTTTTGAATGTGAAGATTCTTTTGTTTGTGCAGCTAACCCATGAGGACACTGGCCACTGGCACAAACGAGTTAGTATTCATTGAGATCTCTGTGCATTAGGCAGTTAATATGGCCTTTGGTGGTCTCTATCCTTAGGGCAGTTATGTCGGAGACCATACAGTGCAGGAGCTGTGGGACCAGCCTGCCTGGGTTTGAATCCTGGCTCCTCTACCAAGCAGCTGGGTGCCCTCTGGCAAGCCACTTAACTCTCTGGCCCCAGTTGTGTCATCTATAAAATGAGAGTAACAAGAGTACCTACTTAATAGTTTTTGTGAGGATTCAGTGAGTTAATACATGCAAAGCCCTTAGGACCCTGCCTGGCACATGGTGAGCATTTAGTAAATGTGGGCTGTTTTCATTTCCCTTGGGATATGTTCATTCATCAGACATTTGGAGAATACCTACCACATGACTGGCATTTGGGGGCTTCAAAGGCAAATATCTGACCTCAGAGCATATAGTAATGGGTAAGCATATAATTGTAGAAATTGAATATGTTGAATTAGAAGTTTATAATCACTGGGTGAGAAAAGCAGGCAAAAGTTGTAATCTGGCTGGGTGTGGGGGCTCATGCCTGTAATCTTAGCACTCTGGAAGGCTGAGGCAATAGGATCGCTTGGGCCGAGGAATTTGAGGTTGCTGTGAGCTATGCCACTACGGCATTCTACCCAGGGTGACACAGTGAGATTTTGCCTCAAAAATCTTCTGGGAAAACTAGTAGTGCAATGTAATAAGCAGTCATAAGGGTTTAAATAAAGTTCTCTGGGGGTAGCACAGAAGAGGGAGCAATAATCTCTGCTAAACTCCTACACCAGAAACTTTCCTCAGAAACAGCTTAGGGGTAGTTTGTGGGATAGTACAGGGGACTCACAATATCCTTGATTTTATTAGGGATGTGTTTATAGATAAGTTTTGTGAACCTTTTTTTTTTTTAATTTCAGGTTAACTTGAGGATACAAACAACCAAATCAAAATACTTGAATTTGTTAGGTAGAGTCTCTGTAGTAGCTGTGTCCTGCACTGGAGAGGTGCACCATACACCCCTATTGTGATCCTTCACGAGCCCTTTGTTACAGTTTCATTTATACCCAAACTTTTCTGAACCAGTTTTGTCTTTTCAGCATGTTCTGCCTTGGGATGAGTCCCTAAGTGCCACTCAACTATATTACAGCCTCAATTTCCTGAAAATTGTTTAAGCTGAGGACTTTGACTTAGTTCTCACGTATTTGGGATGTATTTGATCCATAAATACTATACTCTTCAAATCTACCTTTGGAGTGGAGGAGGTATGAACTGAACAAGCAAATGGAGTTGGTTACTGAGCATATATCTTCTTAGAGGAGCTCTATTTGAGGAAAGCATGTGCATTTTGGGGGTTTGTTCAGTGTGTGTGTTCTTCCCCATCAGTGTAGATAAGTTCCTCACTTTCCCTTCTCCCCCTTTTATACAGGAGGAGCAGTGCCGTCAGGCCTGGAGGACAACCTGTGTAAGATCTGCATGGACTCACCCATCGACTGTGTCCTGCTGGAGTGTGGCCACATGGTGACCTGTACCAAGTGTGGCAAACGCATGAACGAGTGTCCCATCTGCCGGCAGTATGTGATCCGAGCTGTGCATGTCTTCCGGTCCTGAGGGTTCGCACCTGCTGCTTCAGTGCCTTATAGGGGGACAAAGCCTGGGATGTCTGGGCTCAGGGTTGGCCACCTTGCAGAGAGGGGCAAGTTAACAGAAGAAATTGTACAGTGTTCCCAAGATCAGGGCAAGCGAAGATACCATGTTACCCCTGGGCAGGCCTATCTTGCCATGGGGGTGCACCTTGTGACTGGCCAAGCCCCTGAGGCTAGTAGGAACTGCTACAAATCATGTGGGTGAGTCCTTGTTTCAATAATCTTGGGGTGATGATGGTAATTGGTGAACAGAAGACTTTCCAGAACTTGGACCATGTTTTTCCTCTCTTCCTCTGAGAACCTAGACGGTTTCACCCTTTCTCCTATATCCCACCCATCCCCTGGAGATGCTTGTGTATTTCATCAGTTGAAAGTCCTGTTAGAAATGGATCTCTTCCTCCCCAGCACATTTGGATTTAAATTTCTGGTCTCTCTGGCTTTCTGTGTTAACCCACCATTACTAAAGTCTCTTGCTACACTGTCTAAAATCTGTTTCTTTGGACCAAAAATGTTAGTTTACCAGACCGATAGTGGTCCTTAGGATAGAATTTGACCAGTAAATTTAACTCTCGTGGGAAATGAAACACAAATGCTATCAGAAAACTTCAAAGTTGTTAAGTGCTGGGATTGGAAGCTCTTAGTCTTTGACCTGATCCTGGGCACCAATAAGTATCTTGCTTCCAAACTGCTGAGAAGTCCCCAATCTGTATGCAAGCAATGTGTGAGTAATCTCTGCTGCTTCCTGTCTTCGGGCCGGACTTTGTACCATCTTTTTGTTGATGAGGCAAGGGGAAGTGTTGAGTGAAGGCAGTGCAGTGGCCTTTCTACTTAGCTTTGGCTTGGCTTCTGACCCTCTTTTTGCAATAGGCAGGAGTCTTAAACCACTTTCCCTGAAACTGAGGTCCATCTCCTACCCATGGAGGTTTTGAATTTGGTCTCACCCAAGGCAAAGAGACTTGCTCCTCTCCAGCCAGATAAATTTCCTGGAGAACAAACAATGCCTGTAAGAATACCTAAGAGGTATCAGAAGATATTGAGTAAGTCTGGATTCTGCCTGTGAACAGATGTTGCAAGTTTTAATTCCCCAGGTTGGTGGGGAGTTCCTACTTCATTTCCTTCTTAGCCTACTGATTGTGGGGGGATTTTTCTCAGCAGTTTGGAAGCAAGATGCTTATTGGTGCCCAGGATCAGGGAAAAACATTCTCTAGGCCCTTTAGGAAGAACATTGTAATGAGGAGATGATGTTGTCAAGCTCTCTTAGGGTCTTTAAACCACTGGATGAACTGAAGGGCTTAACATTTATTTGCTGGAGAAGTTTAGCCAAGCACAAAACACACATGCTATCAGAAAAGCTGGGTGAATCACACAACTAATACATACCTGAGGGCCTTGCCCAGCACCCACCCTGCAGTGGAGCTCTGAGACTAGAACCAGTTGTGACTGTTGATGCAGTGAGAAACCACTAAAGGGACCTCTTCAGTAGCACAGACATACTTATGCTTCTGCTCCATCATCAACCACTAAACACCTTCAGAGGAATAAAATAATTTCATAAAGTAGTTGTCAGCTGAACACTGGGCCACTTACCGATGTGATACAAGGCCTCGATACTTTGATTCTGGGCCGAAGCCTTTGTAGGAGTTGGGGAATCAGATTTTCCCTTTATAAAGATAGCACCTTTCACCTTTCTGGCAGACAGTGAATGCTCTAGTTTACAGTGCCTACCAGTTTAGTAAAAGATCATTCAGCTACTCTTCAGTTCCACTGTGAAACAGGTCTATGTATATGCTACTCAGTTAAGATCTAGCAATAACTTCAGGGCAGAAGCTGGCTCTCTCCCTACTTAAAACTTGCTTTCTCTGCTGAAGTCCTACCTGCTCCTCCCCCTCCCAGTTTTCCTCCTAGACACAACTTGAAAATAAAATACTAATGATTGGTTAGTAACTTCATTAAGAATCAGAACTGATGTCATTTATTCATTTTAGAGGAAGAACTTGCCTTTTAATCTTTTGTTTTCCTATGGTGAAGGTTTCCATTTAGGAAAAAAAGTGTCAAACAACTCTGATTTTTTTCTTCTGGTATCATTTTATTATTACAACAAATAAAAAATAAAAGTTGGGAGTCTCAGCATCCCATTCCAGTTAATATCTAAACCAAGTATAAAATGTGATTTTAAAAAAATCCTTGAATCTTCCCTCCTTTCCCTCAGGAATCCTTGGCTTTAATTATCATGGAAACATATAATTCTTCCAATTATTCTGTGGCTTTTGCTGTGATTGCGCTGAGATTTCAGTTGAGACTTAAGACTTGGGCAGCTGACTGGTTCATAATATGTTGGAATAGTTGGATCCAAACTAATAATCTCAATATATATTGTATAAATTTGTTGAAATCTGTTGGATGTGTTACTTTAAGTGGCTTAATAAGATTTTCTCAGACTTGGGAGTTAAAGCAAACCCAAATGTGTATTTTTTTGTTACAGAGCTCTGCTTTATAATTTTATAATAAAGTTTCAATACAGATGCCTGTTGGATCTGGTGTGAGGATACCGAAGTTCTGATAGTTAAGACTGATAAACCACAGGCTAACCCCAAACCGTGTACACACAGGCACATTCTTAAAAAATTGCATTATTCTTAGGGATATTTGGGGCATGGGGCCCTGGCCAAAATATCCCTGTTCAGTATTGTGACTTGCCTAAGATCTCACAAGTGATGTGTAAGAGACCATGGAAAAGTCTAGAAGGAAATGGGAGCTGGCTGGGAAAAGGACAAATCCCAAGACTAAATAGGAAGAAGCACCAAATGAGTTCAGGCATTTACACTGATCTAGTCAAGAAGGGCCTTAAAGATCTGAGTGACAGGAACTGAGGACAGCTAGTAAGCCAAGTCTCCCAGGTTACCCTGGGATATATGGTAGCTTTAGGATATAGCTGTGGTTCTCCAAACAGGTGGGCCCAGCCTCATAGGCAGATTGCTCAGTCTTGTACACAGCTCTGACCAGGAGTCCCAGGAAAAAGGAAAATTCCTGAGAACTGAGAATGCAGCCCTTGGGAGAATAAGAGTATGTGCGTATCTACCCTCAAAGAGGGTAGAATCTTGCTAAAAGGGTGTCAAGGCTCAGGGCTGAGCCACAGCACTTTGTCCTCATTGTTGTAGGTGGCTGACCTCTTGGAGGTCAACTGTAGTCTGACTCTTGAAGACACAAGCCTCAACATTCTCTTGCTCAGGGTGTGAAGTACATGAAAAGAAACTAAATTGTACCTATGTATATAGTCAAATCTCAGTAGCAAAGAAAACCATGAATTAGGAAAGACTGCAACAACTACACAACACATAAGGCTGAGAAAGGCCAAGGGCCTAGGTCATTACTAAAGGTGATCACTGCATTTGGCAGAGCCCCTTTACCTTGAAGATGCACTCTGGGTGAGGGCAACCATAAGGATAGGTAGGGCTGGGTCCCAGTCGGCCAGGTTGGAGAGGACAGCTGTCTTTGGTAGGATCCTCAGGGCAGGCCCTTATTTGCTGCCCTGTCTAGTTGCTTGGGCTGAGGAGGCTAGACAGGGGAATGGAAATCTATGTAGGTCAGTGCTCAAAGGAGGAGCAGCTTTTGTTTCCACAGAAGATAGAATAAAAAGAGTATCATACTCCTAATACTAAAGCCATACTGAATGGTGCCTATTCAGAAACACCAAGTGTCCTAGGCTAGAATCAGGGCACCTCTCCTGTCCCTACCCCTCCACATTTTAAACAGTAGGTGGAAGCAAAGGTCAATCAGATTAAAGTTAACCTCCAAGCTCACTGACAAACACCCTCTCAGTAGATATTACTTCAGTTGCAAACATTGCCGGTAGAAATGGGGAATGAGGGGTGAAGAAAGGCAGTGGTCCTTGCTCTTAACTAGGTCCAGAGCCTGATAATTTGTTGACAGGAAAAAAGAAAAGAACTGGGCCAGGTACGGTGGCTCATGCCTATAATCCTAGCACTCTGGGAAGCTGAGGCAGGAGGATCATCTGAGGTCAGGATTTAGAGACAGCCTGAGCAAGAGACCTCACTGCTACAAAAAAAAAAAAAAAAACAGAAAAACTAACCAGGTGTGGTGGTATGTGCCTGAGTCCCAGCTCCTTAGGAAGTTGAAGCTGGAGGACTGCTTGAGCCCAGGAGTTCAAGGTTGCAGTAAGCTGTATGATGACGCCATTGCACTTTAGCCAGGGTAATAGAGTAAGACCCTGTCTTAGAGAACTAAAGAACAAAAAACCCTGACTGACCTGGTGCCATGACTATGGCTCAAAGGAGTAAGGCGCAGGCCCCATATGCCAGAGGTGGTGGGTTCAAATCCAGCCCTGGCCAAAAACCCTGGAGCCACCAGGACTAGGACATGGAAGCCAGTTTATAACCATCTCCTGGTGAACCCGTGCTTAGAGTGGAGTGTGAACTGGAACATGCGGACCTGTTACTGTGGGTTCTGAGGTTATGAGCCAGGGCCCCCTCTTCTGGGTAGCGTCTGGATATGCACTAATGGTGATGTCCCCAGCCCTAGATAACTTTGCACAAAGCACTTTACCCGTATACTAACCCTATGATTTAGGTACAAAGCCTATCCCCATTCTACTTGGAAGAGCTTAAGTACAGATGTTAAGTAACTTGCCTAAGGTTACAGCTATTAAATTTCGGGGCTCCAAACTGAATCAGGTCTGTCTACACCTGCCCATCCAGTGTGGTTAGTCGCTAGTAATGTGAGCCTACGGTGAACTAAAATGAGAACTTCAGTTCCTCAGCTGTGCTAGCCACATGCCACTTGCTCAATAGTTTGGCTGGACAATACTGATTTACTGGGTATTTCCACTGCCACAAAAAGTTCTATAGAAGGCTGGGCGGCACCTGTGGCTCAAAGGAATAGGGCGCTGGCCCTATATACCAGAGGTGGCGGATTCAAACCCGGCCCCAGCCCAAAACTACAAAAAAGAAAAAAAAAATAGTTCTATGGAAGGCTGGGTATCGTGGCTCACGCCTGTAATACTAGCACTTTGGGAGGCTCAGGCAGGAGGACTGCTTGAGCCCAGGAGTTTGACACCAGGGCAACAGCCAATAGTAAGACCCCATCTCTATTTAAAAAGAAAAAGTTCTAAAGAACAGCACCTGCCTACAGCCTTAGGAGGCACTAGAGCTGTTCTTTGTAAGCAGATTGTGCAGATTTGTTCTAAGGTGTGGGTTTTTATTTTTATTTGAGATAGAGCCTCATGCTATCCCCCTGGGTAGAGTGCTGTGGCATCATAGCTCACAGCAAGCTCCAACTCCTGGGCTCAAGCGAGTCTTCCTGCCTCAGCCTCCCAAGTAGCTGGGACCACAGGTGCCTGCCACAACACCTGGCTATTTTTTGGTTGCAGTCGTCATTGTTGTTTGGCGGGCCCAGGCTGGATTCGAACCCACCACCTTAGATGTATGTGGCTGGTACCTTAGCCACTTGAGCCACAAGCGCTGAGCTATAGGTTTTTATTCTTAAGGAGCAGTCTTGTTTCCAGGTTTTGGGGAGGCAGATATTCCTGGAGTCCTCTATGCCCCCAGAGGGGCAGCCCAAATAACCTCCTTTTCTTCATAAAGGCCCCAATTTCCTACCTGATCCTATCTCCTCCCTTCAAATTGGGGATCCTCACTCTGTAATAAGAGAACATGAGAATCATCATAAAAGTTCATTTTGTTTTCTTTCAAACAAGGGTCTACTCCTGGCAGAAGAGGCTAGGGTGAATGCAAGTTTTGTTAAATATAAGAAGCATTTCTGAGGACATCTTCTACATATAACTTTTTTTAAAAAGGGCAAACAGGGAAGAGAGAGACAACTTGGTGGACAGAGCTTCAATAGCCCAGCCTTTATTCCTTAATCACTATGGAAATTATAGGGGTATAGTTGGGGAACGGACAGAAACTGGTAAGATACCTTACTTATATTAAAAAAAAGAAAAATCTAAGTATTTCACAGAAAAAAATATGACAAAGCCAGCACCCAGATCTGAAAGATCTATTTAAACCAGCAAGAGAAACTGATCTTCATTTGTGGCTCCCACAGCAGCTTATTTCTGGTCCAGAAGAGACCCTGGAGAATCGGCAGGTTTTGAAGAAGCCAGCCCCCCTTCCCTGCCCTGTTTGCCTGCCTGCCTCCTGCCTGAGCCCATGCCAGCAGTGTGACCAGGAAGAGTGTGGCCTAAGGGAGACGAAGTGCAGCAATCCTAGCAGGGAGCTACTAGTCTCCGTTTGCGGATACATGCCCAAATCCACTCTGGGGAGACCTGTTGCGCATTGGAGTTCTTGTCTCCATTACCCAGCACATGTGTGGCTGAGGCCATGTCAAATTCCTGCACCAAGTCCCCATCAAATGCCACAAAGTAGCGTCTGAGACGACTGAAGTCTGGCGTGGAGGGTGGCAAGTGGAGCCGCACCCCAGTGAAGATGTCCAGCAGCACCTGCAAACGCAGAAGGGGCAGGGCAGGGTTGGCTGCACTGGGTGCAGACAGGTTATCACCCCAATCAGCGAAGGGCAGAGTAAGGAGGGAGCCCTGAGTTAAAGACACACGTAAACAGTTTACCAGAGAACAGGCAGATGCATAAAATACCCCCCATCCTCCAGTCACTCCAAATTACTAAGACTGATAACTCCCTTCCATCCCTGCTTAGGGGAAAAGAAGAAAGACGGGCCCTGACATTTGGGACGTGGAAATGAGAAAAGTACGTATCACCAAGAGCCATCCAGTGGCTAGTGGTCAGGCAGTGCTGGCTCTCCCCTGAAATCCAGCAGTCCACTGTGCACAGCTAGCCAGAGCAAGGGGCCAGGTGTCCTGTTCATTATTGTGGATGAGTTCAAGGGCTTCAGCCAGGGAAGGGGAAGGTGGGAAAGGGAAAGTTTCTGCTGATCAGCTGGGTTCTGGCTTCAGATCCTGAGTTGTCAAGCTTCTGTGTTTACTTGGGTGGAGGTGGGGAGAATGGGGGCACAATGACATGGTGTGGTGATCATGTATTTATTTCCCTATCCACTATGGGCCATGAGCTCCCCCAGAGTTAAGCCAGTACTAAACCCAGTTCTTGGCCTCAGCAGGTGCTTGACAGATGTTGCCGAACCCAAGACTGAGAAGTGAGTGTAAAAGGGAAAAGCTCAGGTGGGAGGAGAGTCACCAAGCCAGTGCCTCTGTCCTTGCTGACTGGACCAGTTCCCGCCCTGACCACAAACTCACACTGCTGCACTCCCACACCCAGACTGAGCTTTCTCCCCTTTAATGTGAATTGTCACTTGGGCCCAGCAGCTGGCCAGGTCCCTGCAGGCTCTCCTGGCTAGGCTGGCTGCTCTATCTCCTGCCTGTTGGCACAGCTCTCCTTCCTCTCTGTTCGCTGGCTGGCCGCCTCTGCAAGGCAACAAGAGGGCACAGGGTGGAGCAGCGGCACTGCTGGCCCTGCCCATGACAGAGGAGCAGCTAGCTGCAGGCACAGAAGGAGTTTAGCCAGTGTTCCTCCAAACACCTTTGCTCAACTTCTTTCAAAGTTCACGTGCAGAGGGTTGGGAACACAAGGCCCTGGGCCAGACTGGCCCGCCTACAGTTCTTACCCTCACCTTTGTTTGGCACGGGGTCTCGTCAGCAGCTTTCCGCTTTGCCCCCACCTTCACAGCCAGCTTCTCTCCCGCTTTCCCAGGGGAAGGCTTTGCAGTCAGCGTGTTGCCTGCAGGACAGGGTTCAGGATAAGAACTAAGAGGGTGGGGACTGCTGATACTGGGCAGTAAAGGGCAGGTCCAGGCCCTTCCTCTGCTATAAGCGTGGTGAGGAGGAGTAGGGGAGAGTTGTCAGCTAAGCCCTTTAGCTTAAAGGTGGCTTATCTTCTGGTCTGGCTCTTCCAGAGGACTGCTTTATTCAGGGCTGCCCAGCAGAACAGCTTCTGGTCCGTGGCTGGACACATACCAGGAATTCAGTTGATGTTAGCCACAGTGGACACGGATATTGTGATCTCAAAGTTGGGATGTGAGACTGGGTCCTGCCCTTTGATCTCTGCCCCTCGCAGCTCCCTGCCACCCCAGCCCTCCTTGCTTTTCCTTACCACCTTTGCTGTTGAGGTTACTTGGCTTCCCTTCTGCTTTCTTAGCCCTAGCAGAGGGCTTGCTGGGGGAGGCTCTGGGAGCCTTATGGGGCACAGTAGTCCCTGAAGTGCCCTTGTTCTCTCCACTGCTGCCCTCTGTAGTGGAGCTCCCCTCATCTCCAGCCACTACAGTGAAGTCTGCCTTCTCCTTGGACAGCTGGTACAGTTCCTGAGAAAGGGAGGAAGACCCTTGGGTGGTTATCACTCCCTTCCCAGACACTGGCCTTTGAGGCAGAAAGTGTGGTGTGTTGGGCAGCCTGTGGCTCAGTGGGTAGGGCGCCAGCCCCATATACCATGGGTGGTGGGTTTAAACTCGGCCTTGGCAAAACTGCAACAAAAAATAGCCGGGTATTGTGGCGGGCACTTGTGGTCCCAGCTACTTGGGAGGCTGAGGCTAAAGAATTGCCTAAGCCCAGGAGTTGGAGGTTACTGTGAGCTGTGTGACACCACGGCACTCTACCAAGGGTGAGAAAGTGAGACTCTCTCTCTACAAAAAAAAAAAAAAGAAAGTGTGGTGTGTTTTAGGCACGGGTGACTGGGGAACAAAGAGAAAGACAGAAAGACAAATAGCAGGGGACAAATAGTTCCCTTTCTTGGTACTATTCGGAGTATACCCCCTAGCCCCATAACCTGAGTAATCAGGACATGAATCCCCAGTCCCTGTAACCCAGTTTTGTTTTTTTTTAGAGACAGAGTCTCACTTTGTTGCCCTTGGAAGAGTGCTGTGGCATCACAGCTCACAGCAACCTTCAGCTCTTGGGCTTAGGCAATTCTCTTGCCTCAGCCTCCCAAGTAGCTGGGACCACAGGCGCCCACCACAACACCCGGCTATTTTTTTTGCTGCAGTTTGCCCGGGGCTGGGTTTGACCCCACCACCCTTAGTATAATGGGGCTGGCTCCCTATGCACTGAACCACAGGGGCTGCCGCCCCGTAACCCAGTTCTTAATCAGCCTCCGGGCTCTTATTCTCCAAAGGCTGCTCAGGGGGCCTGAAGAACACAAGGCTTTGGAGGGATTGAGGGGCTACTGCTGCCTGACTGACACCAGTTTGGTCTCCCTGTCCTCAGTGGAATGAGGGAAAGGAAGGACACATGAGCAGTTAAGATGCCTAAGATTCCAAGGCCAGGGCAGTGGGCTGGAGAACACACATACAACTTAAGATCTGGTACCTTGAGTTGGGGGAGGTTAGTGGCAGATTTCCAGTCCTTATCATCACGGATTCGAGTACAGCGAGGGAATCGGATAGAGATCCCATCAGCAGTGTGAGCCTCAGATTTGGAGAATTCGGCCCCTGTGATTTCCCATACGGCAGCCTTCTGTCAGAAGTAAATCAGGCAGGTTGTCACTGTTAAATATCTCCCAACAAGCTAGAAGCAATACAGAACAGCTAAAACTAAAAAAGATCTGGCTGTCAGTTGGGAGACTTGGGTTCTAATCCCATTGCTGATGCTGGGTGAACCTGGCAGAGTCCCATCTCTTCTCTGTATCCCTTCTCTGTCAGTACAATGAAGGGATTGGACCAAGCTGCTTCTAGAACAGACCCTCAGTGGTGAAGGGATGGGTATACTCTTCTTATACTGAAGAAGATTTTCCTCAGTGTTAGCTGGTAGTCCCTATGCCTCTCATTTCCCTGGTAAGTCCAGGTCCTCCTCCCTGGATGGCTTTTCATTGAGAAAGAGATAGGTTTTTTGTGGCATGCAAGCTAATTCTGTGGGCTGAAAGAGCTTAAGCCTCTGGGTTTGGATACCTTTGGGTCTGGCACAATGAAGTCAGGATAGTAGATCTTGTTAATCTTCAGCCAGCTGGGAATTTTGCTAGGATCCTGAAGAAGAAAAAGATGCTTTGGGTTTTTCACAAGCTAGAACAAGGCTTAGCAGCCACCTTACCCCCTTTTTGAGACACAATCTCACTCTGTTGCCCAGGCTAGAGTGCTATGGTGTCAGCCTAACTCACAGCTACCTCAAACTTCTGGGTTCAAATGGTCCTCGTGCTTCAGGCTCCCAGGTACCTGGGACTACAGGCACCCATCACAACATGCAAATATTTTTAGAGATGGTATTTTGTTTTATTTTTTGAGATAGAGTCTCACTTTAATGCCCTGGCTAGAGTGCCGTAGCATCATTGTATCTCACAGCAACCCAAAATCTTAGGCTCAGTAATCCTCTTGCTTCAGTCTCCCCAGTAGCTGAGACTACAGATGCCTATAATAACACCCAGCTAATTTTTTTTAAGAGACAAGAGTCTCACTTTGTCGCCCTGGGTAGAGAACTGTAGCATCACAGCTCACAGCAACCTCCAGCTTTGGGGCTTAGGCAATTCTCTTGCCTCAGCCTCCTGAGTAGCTGGGACTACAGGCGCCCACCACAACGCCCAGCAATTTTGTTGTTGCAGTATGGCCAGGGCCAGGTTTGAACCTACCACCCTCGGTATATGGAGCTGGCACCCTATTCACTGAGCCACAGGTGCCATCCTAACTTTTTATTTTTATTTCAGACAGATTCTCATTCTTCTTTTTCTTCTTCTTCTTTTTCTTTTTTAGAAACAGAGTCTCACTTTCTTGCCCTCGGTAGAGTGCCGTGGCATCACAACTCACAGCAACCTCCAGCTCTTTGACTTAGGTGATTCTTCTGCCTTAGCCTCCCGAGCAGCTGGGACTACAGGCGCCTGCCACAACACCTGGCTATTTTTTTGTTGCAGTTTGGCTGGGGCCAGGTTTGAATCTGCCACCCTCGGTATATGGGGCCAGTGCCCTACTCACTGATCTCATTCTTCTTTTTGGCCAGGGCTGGGTTTGAACCCGCCACCTCCAGCATATGGGGCTGGTGCCCTACTCCTTTGAGCCACAGGCACCACCCCGATCTCATTCTTGATTAGACAAGTCTTGAACTCCAGAGCTCCAGTGCTCCTACCTCCTGGGAGGCTGAGGCTAAAGAATTGCCTAAGCCCAGGAGTTGGAGGTTGCTGTGAGCTGTGATGCCATGGCACTCTACCCAGGGGCTCAGCTTGAGGCTCTGTCTAAAAAAAAAAAAAGAAAGAAAAATCTTTTTTCTTGTGGCCCACCCAAAGAGACGTGTGAGTTATATATGCTTTATATGAGGCTCTGGGCTCAAAACTAGCGTGAGTTACATACAATTTACATGGCAGTTAATGCTAAATCAATACAAATCCATCATCATCTCTGGGTGTGGGGGAGCTTAAGTACCTGACCCACTTGACTCATAAGAAACTGGATGCTTGTCTTTTTTTTTTTTTTTTTTTTGAGACAGAGTCTCACTATGTCACTTTCAGTAGAGTGCCGTTAGTGTCACAGCTCACAGCAACCTCAAACTCTTTGGACTTATGTGATTCTCTTGCCTCAGCCTCCTGAGTAGCTGGGACTACAGGTGCCCGCCACAATGCCCGGCTATTTTCTTGTTACAGTCATCATTGTTGTTTAGCTAGCCCATGCTAGG